CGAGACTACCAGTAAATCAATGTAATGAGATGTCCTACACTGTCGCGGTTCGAATCCCGCTGAGGGTGTTGCTAAGACCAATGCAAGGTCGAAACTGCAGTCCACCCAGGAGGAGAACAACTTTTGGGGAAGCAGGGCAATGTGAAATTGAATGAAAACGTCAGCTCAACTCATATCATTGTGGGAAAATTCTACTACCAGTCCTTCATAGCCTTACACGAAATAGGGTGAATAGAAAGGATAAATACAATTGAATGAAAAGATAAAAATTAAATTGCGACTCCCCTTATTATCCCAAATAAAATAGGGCGAATATGTCTCATAATACGATTAACTGGAGATCTCTATAAACCTCTTTATGAAAAAAGTTGCATAATTCACTTTAGAGGTCACGTTTTACAACTCTTTCTTCATTTCAGCAATACCGTTGCTGGAGTTTTCTGTCAGAATAATCATGCTGCATCGGTTGTCGGTACAGAACCATGGTGTACTCACACAATCCACAACGATCCTTATTATCTTCCCAGTTTCGGTGCGGTCATTGCTACCGAGTTTTCTCACACGAATTCAACCTATTTATTTATAATGAGAGACAAATGGGACCTCGAGTCTGCAACTTCCGTCCGACTCATCTTCCCACCGTCGGTATTCTCCAATGCTCCCAACTGCTTCTGCCAAATGAGGGAATTGAGTCTATTTTATCCCCCAAAAGGGAGGCAGTTCAAGCAAACTGTTGAAAGTCCATTTGCAAAGTTCATTTTGGTAGTCGGTAAAATAGGTTAAAAGAATTTAAGAATAAATAGAGCCCAAAGAGAGACACACACTCTGCAGAAATGGCGACGTAACTGAAATACTCATCTGATACGTACCAATAGTGTGTCTTTTGGAAGAGAAAATCTAACGTAAGTGAACCATAAATTGAATGGAGAAGTGGTCATTCGCTATCGTGGAACCCGGACGTTCACGAGAAGGAGGGAGAGAAGAGAAGCCGCATTTCTGCAATTCATCATCCACTCCTCCCACATGGTACCTTCGAGCAAGTCGACTACTGAAAGCATTCCATGAGTCTTCGCTTTCGCATCAATCAACGTCTGTCCTGCTTGCAGTCTCTTTTAAACAAATGCTCTGTTCTTGTTTGTATGTAAATATGAATAAAATCCGATGGAAGCTTTTATCTAAACATGAAAAGAAGTGTGTTTCGATGAATCTGGTGAGATGACATTTATGTTAGGACTTTCATGTAAGAAAAAGGGGTTCAAAGGTCGATCTCACCAGAAGAGGACGGTTGGTGAAAACGGGCCGAGCTTTCGATCAGCAAATGATGGACATCATCAAAACTGGG